CGTCCCTGCCTTTACGAACTTTACAGTTTAGTAAGAAAGAGAGATGAACAAATGGGCAATCAGAATAGAGCCAGGTAAGGGTCACTGATGAGGAAAATGAAATGCAAGGTGCTGTAGAGCATAAAGAAAGGTATCCAAACTGGACTTTGTGGTGTAACACAGAAAACCTTTCTGTAGAAATGAGACCTAAGCTATGGGTGGGGTGCTTAAAAATCAGGAACCAGATCACACATCAAGACAGTTAAGCTTACTTAATTACATTTTAATTACTCTAAAATGATTGAAATGAGAGAGGGACACAGACCAGCATTTTAGAAAGATAAATCTGGCTACAATCCAAGTGCAGGAAAGCAGTAGTTATTTAGCAGACACCATCAGCAGTGATTGAAAACAAGAGGGAGGGGTCCAGGATGCCTCTCCTGCTCTGACTCGAGACCGTGCATGGAGAGCGGTCTCATTTACCAAACTAAGGAACACAGACAAGTTTTTCAAGATAGGGAGAGGAACTGAGCTCGGTTTGGGACTTGCAGAGTGTATGTGTCTCTGACCCATCCAAGCAATTTGATACAAGGTTAGATACATCGATGCATTCTGGAGCTGTGGACTTGAGAGGGATAAGAATCCAAATACAACATGTTCATAAGAAGACAAAAGGCCCAAGCAGAAGCCTGAGGACAATAACTTAAAGGCCTCCACCAAAAGCTTTCCCCAGCAGAGCTGACGGCATTCTATATGTTATTCTTAAAACTGTATGTGAGCTTTGCAAATAGTCCTTTTACTACTCACTTAAGTAGAATAAGAAATTATGATTGGCAAGGGAAAGAAAACCAATGGCTCCTTCTCTACTTGAGCATATTTTCAGATGCAGTGGGTATCCATTTGCAAAATATATTATTTATTTGTACAACTTTTCTTAAAATAGCTACTTGACAAGTCAACAGACAGCTTGTGTTCCCCTGTGTTTATGTTCATTTGGACATTACGACACTTTTTAATTGTCAGCCAAGCTTAACTGACAAAAATTGTGCCAGTATCTCTATCAAGCACCTTCAAGCCTCAGGTACCTTCTCCCTCTGAGCTCTGACGAAGCCCAGAAGCTGAGCTTTTAAGAAGGAAAGGCAAGGCCTCTTCTGAGACACCAAACCACAACTGAATATATGTACTCCCCCAGATCTGGCTCTGAGACCACAGAGGCTGTTCTCTTCTCCCTCAAAATAGTGAGAAGCAGTGAGAAATAAGAAGAGTACTGATAAGCAAAGGTATACAGACCCTGAAACTAAAATCAATCCCTGCACATCAATAGGGTAAAGAGATTCTTGTTCATATTTTAGTGGCTTAAACTACCCTCAAAAAAGCATTACAATCATAGTCCACACTCCAAGTACGAAGTGGGCTAAATGCTATTAATGCACTTAGTCATGACAAGAGGACTGAAAGTGCCCTGCTAATGCAACCCAGGAGTATATTTTAGACTAGAGATAGGACCATGTGATCCTGGAAGACTTTGTTCACTCAGAAAAATATTTACTGGGCCGCCTGGGTGGCTCAGTCAATTAAGCGTCCAACTTCAGCTTAGGTCATGATCTCACGGTTTGTGGGTTCAAGCCCTGCGTCAGGCTCCGTGCTGACAGCTCAGAGCCTGGAGCCTGCTTCAGATTCTGTGTCTCCCTCTCTCTCGGCCCCTCCCCAACTCGCTCTCTGTCTCTGTCTCTCAAAAATAAAAAGACATAAAAAATTTTTAAAGTATATATATTTACTAAGCAAAGTCTACGCTAAGTCCCGAGACTAAAACAGGGAGTAAACGCAACTTCGGTTACAAGGAGCTGATGTCCAAGAGGAGAGAAGATGCACATGCAAATCCCCGTAACTGACGAGACAAGAGAAGGCAGCAGTGCCGTCACATTAAAGTGCATTAGCAGAGAGAGGAAGAGGGAAAACAGGATTCCCAGCTTTATAGAACAATTTAAACTGAAACTATCACGGGGAATAAAAGGTCAAGAATGCCCTCACTACGAATCCAAGAGAGAAGAATAAAAACAAGTTTTCAAAATTTTGAAACAAAACAAAATTTTAAACTCTCTGAATCCCCCTAGTGAGGACAAGTCTGGAGCTCTGTTTCTGTTCACTTTTTAAGAATCTAAAGCATCTATACAAGCCTGGCTTTGAATTTTCCAGCATTAAAATACTGAAAAGTTAAAAAATGGTGCTAAGAAGACAAGATCCTCCAAATTCGTAACAGGAAATATGGCATTTTCCCAGATTATTTTCTGGCTTCGGTGAAGAGAGAGAATGGGGACCATACTGCAGCAGCAGGATTTATAAATATGAATTACAGGATAAGATGATTTTCCAAACATCTGTCAAAAGTTAATTTGATCCACGAGAAAAGGGCAAAAAAGACTCAAGAGAAGCCAAATGTAGTGACTAATATGTGGAACTTTTGTAGACTTCAGTGGGTTGATGGCCTCATGGGCATTGCATGCCCACTCAACAATAATAAATACACAAAGTCTATACGATAATGCACTCATACCATTCAGAGCACTTTCCCATGCACCCTCTCATGTGACTGTCACAATGCACATACTGGATATCTCTGGTTAAATGTAAAGACCAATAGACTTAGTACTTTAAGCCACTATACACAGTGGGAAGAAATGTAGAGATGCCACGTGGCATAGTGGTTAAAAGAAAACCACTGTTCTGCCACTTCCTACTTATATAATCTTGGGTTCATAGTTTAATGTTTTCTTCTAGGGTCCTTTACCCATAAAATGAGAGTAATAACTACCTCATGGAGTAATTACACAAGATTAAAAACATGTAAGGTGGCTAGTATAGTGTCTGGCATGTAACAGGCACTCCTTAAATGAAAACTAGCAATGGTAGTTTTCAAAAGCTCTATAATCATCTGGTGTAACATTGTTACTAGGTTAGCACAGCAGCTCAAATAATTCAGGAACAAAGTTTTCCCGTGGATTTAAATTTATATGTTGTAATGGGGGGGGGGGGGGGGGGGGGGGGGGGGGGGGGGAGAGGCAAGGAAAGTTGACTAAAATATGTTTACAAAAAGCTATTTTATGATTTTCCAACTTTTGCTTGATGATGTACTAAAAGACCTGGACAAAATTATACCATATCCCTTTCCCAGTTGTTAAAACAGGCTATTTGGGACACTTAATCCCTACTTCTAGACGTTCTGCTTATGTATTGTGTGGGATGTGCTTTGGAAACAAGTTAGTGTCCATTAATTTGACTAGCAAGAGGAAATAGCCATCTTCTTACTTTCTCAGTTCTATGAAGTTAACTAAATAGGAGTCTCTTAACTGGGAAGAGAATTCAGGTTTTCTACTTTTCAGAAGTATCATGTCTTAAAAAGTATAAAATTAGGAATTTTCATTTGTATAGATCCTGAACCTTGCTATTGTCCCTAAATCTTCAGTCTAGGCTTGACTATGAACTTCAGATGATCAAGTCATGTGACTGTGTTTGTGAAATTAATCACCAAATTGCTATTTGCATCTCCTGAGAATTTCATTCCAAAGAGATTTGGTCCTTTTTACTGGATTCTACGCCTGCTCTATTTTCTCCCCATTACAGTGAGAAAGCACTGCCATCTACTGGACTCTGAAGATATTGTTGCTTTCAGTCTGAGAGAATTCTTACGATTAGTACTTTTTACACTTTGTCAACAACATGGTATTTAGAGTTATTTTGACAGTATGAGTTACATAAAAATAAAACTCCAGGAGTCAGGGCTCAGGGTAAAGTAGGGTAGGAGAGAAAAATAATACCATCCCCTCCATTGTTGGCTGATAGTCCTTAACACAGCAAGCATTCACCTACACTCATTAACAAATTTCTATTGCGCACCTACTATACTATATGCCAGGTACTGGGCAAGGGACACAGTGTTAACATGATAGGATTAGGGAGGTAATCCCCCTTATCCTATGACAGGGTTATCGCCTAGTGAGTAGTTTCCATGTATTACTGAATTCTATTCATGTGCCAGATTCATAATGTACATAACCACCTCTCATCCCCAAACAATTTATGAGGAGGAAGAAATTGTTATCTCCATTTGCAGAGGAGAAAATAAACTCAGGGATGATTCAATTTGCCCAAGATCTCTCTCCGAGATAAGTTGCTGTAGTGGCTGGAATTAAACTCACATCAATCTGACTCCAAAACCTGTATGCTTAACCACTAGCTATGTACACTCACCCAAGTAGCTGTCAGCAACCTCCCCAAAACAAGAGAAGCTGACAAAAGGAAATTCAGGCAAAGACAGTCTTACATGTCTATATTAAAGGCAAAACTCCTAAAGTGAGATCTGAAAGGTTTCTAGCTTATTGGATAAGAAGCTGGCCCAACAGCCTCTGACTCCCCATGTGCCCCTAATTGCCATTCTATCAGTTAAATCCCCCTAGAAAACATCTCTCCAAACCATCTAGCCTCATTCAACAACTTCCATCCACTCCAGCTTCAAGTTACAACAGTGTTCCTCTCTGGCTCCCCATAGTCTTCAAACATTAAAAAGAGTATGTCTTCCTAAGGTGCTCTTCAAATTATTTAAAAGTCTGCTCTAATTCACCTGTGTTATCTGCAAGACCTAAATAACTGACACCAAAAACAATTTCTCAAACTAAACCCCACGATTTTCAACTATGTCCAATAGTCTCCAAACACACTCCTGGTAGTGAGACTGAACTGACTAATCTGTAATAAAAGTGCATTGCACTTCATCAGAAGTCACCAAAGATAAGAGCAAGCAGCCCAGATCTTCTTTTAGGAAAATTAATAATCTAGATTTAGAAAAGACGAATTGGGGTGGTTACGAAACAAGTTTTCGCTTTAGAAAGCATTTCACCTTAAGCCACACTAAACAAACCTACAATGATACTTGAAACAAGATTCTATTTACACAGCGCTTTTCATACTATGTCAAGGCACAGCTGTGCTAAACAAAACTCACAGCATTAGGAAAACCCTCTTACCTTATGTTCGAATGGAGCACCATAGTAGCCATCGTTCAGCCCAAAAATTATCTCATTTTGGTTGCGGGCATGAATCTAAAAGAAGAAAAACACCCTATCAGTTCTTCTCATTCCTAATTAAGTTTTAACATGATTAGAGCATGACAGTTAAAACAGGACCTACTTCAATGCTGAAAAACAGGCTGATTAATCTAACAAGCCAGCAGCAAACAAATCACTTATCCTAAGACCAGAGATTCAATTGAGAACTTCCTGCTGTAGTCAAAGGGCTCACAAAATTATTACATGAGATAACAGGCACCACCATTCACACATATTTTCCATGAACACTTCTTGAGATTGCTATGGAAAGGCTCGTTCTGAAACACAAGGGATCCAGAGACATACCGTATATTCTCTGATCTCAAAGAAAACACAATCCAGTTAGTCCATAAAAGTGCTTTAAAAAACATAAAGTCCTGGCACGACTGGGTGGCTCAGTTGGTTGAGCATCTGACTTCAGCTCAAGATCTCGTGGTCTGTGAGTTCAAGCTCCACATCGGGCTCTATGATGACAGCTCAGAGCCTGGACCCTGCTTCGAGTTCTGTGTCTCCCTTTCTCTCTGCCCCTCCCCCCCTCGTGTTCTGTTTCTCTCTCAAAAGAATAAACATTAAAAAAATAACAAAGTCCTAGAAAAAAACATAAGATTAAAATTATTTTCTATTTTCAAAAAGACAGTTTAAAGATAATATCTAAGCTCCATCTTCACTCTGGACCCTAGTTTCCGCAACTAGAAATGAATGAATCAGATTATGCTGTATATCACACTTCTGTGCTTACCCCCATCTCCTCTGGCTAAATCCAACGTATTACCCAAATTTCACTCAAGATGATCAATCAATTTAACCTAACTAATGTTTGTAAAACAGTCCATTCAGTGACAACAGTATACACATCACATGTACAGGAAACATCCACCAAAAAGAGATCTTATATTCTGGGCCATAAAATAAACCACACGAAAGCTAAAAGGATTGAAATCACATAAACTATTTTCTCTAAATACGACAGAATTCAAGTAGGAATCAACAAAAGAAGGACATCTGTAAAATCTACAAATGTTTGAAAATTAAACACCATGCCTCTAAATAACCCTTGAATCAATAAGAAATAAAAGGAAAATTAGAAAATATTTTGAATTGAATGAAAATGAAAGTACAACACCAAAGCTTCTGAGTCAGGGTTACAGCAAGGCTTAGAGGAAAATTTATTAAGTGCTTACTTTAAAAAAGATAAGTCTCAAAACAGTAATGGAAAATCCTACCTTAAGAAACTAGTAAAGAAGAACAAAGTAAACTCAAAGCAAGCAAAAGAAAGAAATTATAAGTACAAAATGAGAAATCAATGAAACTGAAAATAACGATAATCAATGAAACCAAATACCAGTTCTCTGAAAAGCTAAGAAAATGGATAACTCTCTAGGCAGAGTGATTAGGAGCAGAAAGAGACAGAAATTACTGATAGCAAGAATGAAAGAGGAAAGCATCATTAGACAGCCTATATGCGTTACAAGAACATAGTAATATTATGGAAATTTTTATACTAATAAACTTGAAAACTTAGGTGAAAGTGACAAACTCGTAGGAAAACAAACTATCAAAGCTCACTCAAAAAGACATAGATAACCTAAAAAGCCCCATATCTAGTTAAGTAATAGAAGTTATACTTTTAAATTTGCCCACAGGGAAATGTTAACACCCAGATGGGTTCACCGAAGAATTCTGTCAACATCTGTGGAATAATTAATGCCAACTTTACACAAATTCCTCCAGAAAATAAAAACTAAACACTTCCCAATCTATTTTACAAGACCAGCATTACTCTCACACTAAACCAGACAAGGACAATGCAAGAAAAGTACAGACCAATATCCCTCATGCATATTATACTTAATAGTGAAGGACTGAATACCAACATCAGTAACAAAACAAGACCGTCCACTCTACGCGCTTCTATTCAACATTACACTGTACTGAAGTCTCAACCAACAAAATAAGACAAAAAAAAGAGAAAAAAGACATACCCATTAGGAAGAAATTGAACAGTGTGTTCACAGATAAGACCACCTATATGAGAATCTATAAGAGGAATCTACCAAAAAAACTACTAGACTAATAAATGAGTTTAGCAAGGTCAGAGAATACATGCTCAAAACAGAAATGTTTATGTATATATTAGCATAAATGTTTATGTTTATGTAATATATTGCAATTATCAACAATTGCAAATAGGAACTTTTTTTAAAGGAACAGCATTTAAATTAGCATTAAAAATGTGTAATCCACAGTTACAAATTTATCAAAATATGCACAAGATCTGTATACTGAAAACTACGAAATGCTGATGAGTGAAATAAAAAGATTTTCACAAATGGAGGGATACCATGTCCATAGATTGAAATACTCGATACTATTAAGATGTCAATTCTCCCCAAATTTTCTTACATTTTTGTAGAATTGACAAATTAATCCTAAAGTATATACGTAAAGGCAAAAGATCTAGAACAGCCAGAACAACTCTGAGAAAAGATCAAAGTTGGAGGATTCATATTACCTGAATTAATGATGTATAAAACTACACTATTCAAGGTCATGTAGTATTGGCATAAGACAGACATGTAGAAAAATAAAATACAATAGAGTCCAGAAACAGACCTACACAAATGATTTTAAATAATTCATTTCAACAAAGATAACAAAGTAATTCAGTGGAGAAATAAGAGCTCTTACAACAAAGTACAGGGAGCAAATGTTCATCCATCTGCAAAACAATGAACCTTACACTTTAAATAAAAGTTAATTAAAAATGATCATTGGCATAAACATAAAACTAATACTGTAAAGCTTCTAGAGAAAAAACTCCATAGAAGAAATCTTTGTGACCTTGAACTAGGTGAAGATATCTTAGATAAAACACAAAAAGCATGAAACATTAAAGTAAAAATACAGCAGACTTCATCAACACTTACCAGATTCTGTTCTTTGAATGGCACTTAAAGAAATGAAGACAAGCCACAGACTTGCAGAAAATATTTGGAAAATACATATCTTATAAAGAACTGACTCATATCCAGAATACATACAGAAATCTACTCAATATTGAGAATTCAAACAACCAAATAAGAGGGCAAAAATCTGAATGAATATTTTACCAAAAAAAGGGTGAGAGAAAGAGAGACTGATGACAAACATTTTTTTAACTGCTCAACATGATTTCATCACCAGAGAAATTAAAATTAAAATCACAAGATTCTATATACCCATAAAAAGCAGCAGAAAGAGAAGAAAGAGCAACTAAGAAATAAATTCCATTTATAATTGTACCCAAAATATAAGATACCTAGGAATATTCCTAACCAAAGCAGTGAAAAAACCTATGCTCTGCAAACTACAAAACACTGATGAAAGAAATTAAAGACAAAGCAAACAAATGGAAAGACATTCCAAATTCTACACTCATGGACTTGAAGAACAAACACTGTTAAAATGTCTTATTCCTTAAGGGCACCTGGGTACCTCAGTCGATTAAGCATCAGCTTCAGCTCAGGTCTGTGCTAACAGCTCAGAGTCAGATTCTGTATCTCCCTCCCTCTCTTCCCCTTCCTGGCTCACACTCTGTCTCTCCCTCTCTCTCAAAAATGAATAAACGTTAAAAAAATTTTTAATGTCTTACTACTCAAAGCAATCTACACATTTAATGTAATGTCAACCAAAATATCAGCCGCATTTTTCACAGAAATAGAATAAAAAATCCTAAAATGTATATGGAACCACAAAAGACCCTGAATAGTCAAAGCAGTCTTGAAAAAGAAAAACAAAGCTGGAGACATCATAATTCTAAAAAAGTTATATTACAAAGCTGCCATAATCAAAACAGTATGGTACTGGCATAAAAACCGACATATAGATCAATGTAACAGAACAGAAAATCCAGAAATAAACTCACAATGATATGGTCAATTAATCTTTGACAAAGCAGGAAAGAATATCCAATGGGAAAAAGACAATCTCTTCAACAAATCGGTGTTGGGAAAACTGGACAGACACACGCAAAAGAATGAAACTGGACCGCTTTCCTACACCATACACAAAAATAAATTCAAAATGGATTAAAGACCTAAATGTGAGACCTGAAACCATAAAAATCCCAGAGAAGAACACAGACAGTAATTTTTCTGACACTGGCTGTAGCAATATTTGTCCCCTGAGGCAAAGGAAATAAAAGCAAAATTAAACTATTGGGACTACATCAAAATAAAAAGCTTCTGCACAGCAAAGGAAACAATCAAAACTAAAAGGCAGCCTACTGAATGGGAGAAGATATTTGCAAATGACATATCCAATAAAGGGTTAATATCCAAAATATATAAAGAATTCATAAAACTCAACACCCAAAAAGCAAATAATCCGATTTTAAAAAGGGCAGAAGACATGAACAGACATTTCTACAAAGAAGACATACACTGAAAACAGACACATGAAAAGATGCTCAGCATCATTTACCATCAGGGAAATGCAAATCAAAACTACAATGAAATATCACCTCACAGCTCAGAATGGCTAAAATCAAGATACAAGAAACAACAAGGTGTTGTAGAATGTAGGGAAAAAGGAACACATACACACTGCTGGTGGGAATGCAAACTGGTGCAGCCACTGTGGAAAATAGTATGGAGGTTCCTCAAAAAGTTAAAAATAGAACTACACTATGATCTAGCAATTACACTATTAAGTATTTCCCCAAATAATACAAAAACATTAATTCAAAGGGATACATGCACCCCTATGTTTATAGCACCATTATTTACAGCAGCCAAGATATGGAAGCAGCCCAAGTGTCCATTGACTGATGAATGGATAAAGATGTGGTGTCTGTGTGTGTGTGTCTGCACACGTGCGCGCACACACATGATGGAATATTACTCAGCCATAAAAAATAATGAAAACTTGCCATTTGCAATGATTTGGATGGGACTAGAGACTATAATGCTAAGTGAAATAAGTCAGAGAAAGAAAAATGCCACATCATTTCATTCATGTGTGGAATTTAAGTAACAAAACGAATGAGGGGATAAAAGAAAGACAGAGGCAAACCAAGATACAAGACTCTTAACTATAGAGAGAAAACTGATGGTTACCAGAGGGGAGTTGGGTAGAGGAATAGCTGAAATAGGTGATGGGGATTAAGGAGTACACTTGTCATGATGAGTACCAGGTAATTAAAATAAATACTTTAAAAAAAAGAATCACAAGATTCTACTTCAAATCCATCAGAATGGCCAAAACCTGCCAGAATGGAAAACAGTTTGGCAGCTTTTTATAAATTTCAGCACACACTTACCACTAGACTCGGAAATCCCATTCCTAGGTATTTACTCAAGAGAAATGACAACATATGTCCACAAAAAGACCTATATTTAAATATTCACAGCAGCATTACTCATTGTGGTGGTGGCTACTAGGCTTTACACATTTGTCAAACCTACTGAACTATATACCTTAAAAGAGTGCATTATATTGTCTATACATTATACCTCAACAAACCTGAGTTGCAAAAACAATTCATTCAGAAGTCAGCCCGACCTGAATCTTCCTAGACCTATTTAAATACCCATTCCATATACTCCTCCAAATTGCATTACAAAGCCACGGTAATCAAAACAGTAAGGTACTGTGCAGTCTATGCAAGTATTCATCAATTATCAGTTTGCCAAGTCTAAGGATCTTGTGTTACCCATCTATGGATCCTTAATAGTAAGAACAATGCCTGGTAGAAAGCACATGATCAATGAACCTAAGTAATTCTGGCTATTATCCTGATACATCTTAGTCTTGCTTAGTCTGAAAATTTGTAATTCTATTTTTTTTAATGTTTATTTTTGAGAGAGAGATGGAGTATGAGTGGGGGAGGGGCAGAGAGAGGGGTAGACACGGAATCCAAAGCAGGCCCCAGGCTCTGAGCTGTCAGCACAGAGCCTGATGCAGGGCTCGAACCTATGAACCATGAGATCATGACCTGAGCCAAAGCCAGACGTTTAACCAACTGAGCCACCCACATGCCTCAATTTGTAATTCCATTTTATCTGATTTTCTAGTAGTGTATCTATTTCATAGGTGAGTTCTGACTTTCTACAATGATACAAAGCTTCTAATTGGTTTTAAAACATGTTCTCTCTTTCTCTTGTTCTCCCTAATACCAGCATAACCAGCTTTGTAATAAGACAACTGAAAGCTGACGCTCTGCAATTAGGGCAGGTTCGACATAAACACGGAGATCACTATCTAAGGAATATGTGAATTGAAAATCATGAAGGCCACCCTCTTTGCTTCTATAAGCTATCTTCCACAGCCATACAACTCTAATGTTAAGAAGCATCAACCTTCAAGAAATGAGGATACTTTCAGAAGAGAAACTAACAAGTGCTCAATACCAATGTCTATCCACAGAGAGTCAACTATGGTGTATGGGAAGATAGAAAGAGTCTGTGCCTCAGTGCAGGGCTCTGGTTGGCCAGATTAAAGGCGACAGTATATCATAATGAAAGAGGAAAAAAAAGCCCTAAGCTAAAAATCATTATAAGTTTTTATTAAGACCAGTCCTAAAATGGGAGGAATAATATAAGAACAAAAAAGATTAAGAATTCGTAGCAGTTAGAATTTCATTATGGAAAACGTCTATTATATGCATTGTTCTGGTCACTAAAAAAGAGGACACAAAATAAAGTATATAATAAGCAAAATGAGGGCAGAGGGGTTTTTTTTTAGCTGAAAAAAATATGTAGAATTAAACTGATTCTTTAGAAGAAATATACCAGAAAGTCTATATTGAATAAATATTAAGAAACATCAAGAATATTCATAGATATGACTAACATCTTAGAGCTACCTTTAACAGAAGTCCCTCAGGGATCACAAAATAGACACAGCACTCATTCCAAGGTAGGTGGGCTACCAATGACTACATGTATGTAGCAGTGTGGTACAGAACAAAGAATAAATTTGTAAGTCAGCCAGGCCTGGATTTAAATACCAGCTCCACTCAGCAGTATGATCTTGAACAGTTTCTTATATTCTCTATGGTTCAATGTGGAACCATGTGGAAAATAAGGGCAATAATACCAAACTTCACAAGGCTGATAGGTATCAGTGTCAGAAGGGATTATGGAGCCACTTCTGAGCTCAGCTAGAAGGGTGCTATGATCCAATAACTATGATCCCCACATCACTCATAGGGGATTGGTAGCAATATATAAACCAGGCAATTGTTATCCCCGAGCTCAATAAACAGCAGCTCTCCTTATTCCTGAAACAATTCAACTCTACAGATCATAAGAAAAGCACTTAATAGCACATTCCATATTTGCAACTTAGTTTTTAGATTCTTTTGGGGAATATCCAATGAAACAGAAGAACCAGAATGCTATAGGAAAGTATATTCTTTCCTACCCACCTCCCAGAAAAAAATTTTTCTTAATTTAGCAGCTTAGAGTGCTTCCTCATAAGTATCTTAAGCTAAAAATTATTTTTTAAACTTGATAATGACTCAAATTTCTATAATTAAGTAAATAATCATAAAAGTTCTGTTTATAATCAGAAATGTAGAATCATAAAATTCTACAGAAAGATTAGACATATTAATTTAGAGAAGACAACTACTCATAACTAGAATCTAAAAAAACCTGAACATTAAAAAAAAGGGGGGGGGGAACACCGGGTGGCTCAGTCAGATGAGTGTCTGTCTTTGGCTCAGGTCATGATCTCGTGGCTCATGGGTTCAGCCCCATGTCAGGCTCTGTGCTGACAGCTCAGAGCCTGGAACCTGCTTTGGATTCTGTGCCTCCCTCTCTTTCTGCCCCTCCCTCATTCATGTTCTCTCAAAAATAAATAAACATTAAAAATAAATGAGTAAATTTCTCTCTCTCAAAAATAAACATTAAAAATGAATAAATAAATAAACAAAAATTACCTGCTGACCCAAGTATTTCAGCCCATCCAAACAGACTTTCCATTCAATCAAAAGCTGGTAGATGTCCTCCTTTCCACCCCATATCTTCACCACGAAACAAGACACAGATGTATCAAGACGGTCTGGCATTATTCCAAAATCGAGACTCCGCCATGTTGGATTCTGTTGACAGAAAGGAAAGCATGCTTTATGAAGACTCTAACTTGTTAATAATTATTTCAATTATAAATCATTTTGGTTTTAAAAACCAAAAGACCTCATAAATACAGTAAATGACAAACTTAAATGAATCAGGAAGACATTCCAATTAACACGATGGGAGTGATAATGGTATAAGCATACCTCAGAGCTAACTGCCAGTTTGGTCCCAGACTACCACAATAAAGCAAGTTATCACACTAAAGCAAGTCAAATGAATCTTTTGGTTTCTCACTGTATAGAAAAGTTATGTTTGCACTATAACACAGTCTCTTAAGTGTTTAATAGCATTATGTCTAAAAAATGTATTTACTTAAAAAATACTTTATTGCTGGGGCACCTGGGTGGCTCAGTCAGTTAAGCGTCTGACTTCGGCTCAAGTCATGACCTCAATATTTGTGAGTTTAAGCCCCACATGAGGCTCTCTGCTGTCAGCACACTGCCCACTTCAGATCTTCTCTCCCCCCTCTCTGTTCCTCCCCTTTCTCAAAAATAAATAAACCTTAAAAAAATATTGCTTAAAAATGTAACCATCATCTGAGTGTTGAGCAAGTCATAAACTTTTTGCTGGTGGAGGGTCTTGCCTCAATGTTGATGTTGGTATATGCAATGATGTTTGATAGTATTTTACCTGCAGTAAAACCTCTTTCAAAATTACAATCAAACCTACCGCTGTTTTTTAACAACTAAATTTATGTAATATCCTAAATCCTTTCTTGTCATTTCAACCATCTTCACAGGATCTTAACCAGGAGTAGTTCTTTCTCAAGAAACCACTTTCTTTGTTCATCCATGAGAAGCCAGTCCTCATCTGTTCAAGTTTTATCATGAGATCACAGCAATTCAGTCTGGTCTTAAGGCTCTTCATGTAATTTTAATTCTCTCACTATTTCTACCATGTCTGTAGTTATTTCCTCCACTGAAGTCTTGAACCCCATAAAGTCATCCATGAGGGTTGGAATCAGCTTTTTCCAAAATCCTATCAATATTGATATTCTGACCTCTTCCCATGAATCACAATGTTCTTAATGGCATCTAGAATGGTGAATCTTTTCTGGAAGGTTTTCTATTGGCTTTGCCCAGATCTGCCAGTATCACTATCTATAGCAGCTACAACCTTATGAAATGTATTTCTTAAATAATAAGAGTTGAATATTGAAACGATTTCTTGGATCCATGGGCTATAGAATGGATGTTGTGTTAGCAGGCATGAAAACAACATTAATTTCATTGTATCTCCATCAGAGGTCTTAAGTGACCAGGTGCATTGTCAGTAAGGAGTAGTATTTTGAAAAGAATCTTTTTCTGAGCAGATCTCAACAGTGGGCTTAAAATATTCATGAAATCTTATAAACAGATATACTGCCATTCAGGCTTTCCTGCTTCATTTACAGAGCACAGGCAGGACAGATTTAGCACAATTTTTAAGGGCCCTAAAATTTTCAAAATGGTAAATGACATTGACATAATGCAGCCACCAGCTGCATTAGCTCGTAACAAGAGTCAGACTGTTCTTTTGAAGCTTTGAAACTAGGCATTGACTTTTTTAGCTGTGAAAGTCCTAGATGACACCTTTTTCCAATTAAGAAGGCTATTTGATCTACACTGAAAATCTGTTGTTTAATGTAGCCACCTTTATTAACTATCTTCACCAGATCTTCTGGGTAAATTGCTGCAGCTTCTACATTAACACTTGCTGCCTCACCTTGCACTTTTATGTTATAGAGACAGTTTCTTTCCTTAAACCTCATGAACCAACCTATGCTAGCTTCAAATTTTTCTTCTGTAGTTTCCTCACTCCTCCCAGCCTTCATGTAATTGAAGAAAGTTAGGCTCTTGCTCTGGATTAAACTTTGACTTAAGGAAATGTTGTGGTTGGTTTGATCTCCGATCCGGACCTCTCAAACCTTCTCCACATCAGCAATAAGACTGTTTTCACTTTTTTATCATCGTGTGTTCACTGGAGTAGAACTTTTAATTTCCTTCAAGAACCTTTCCTTTATATTCACAACTTAGTTAACTACTGGGTGCAAGAGGCCTAGCTTTGGTATATCTTGGCTTTCAACATACTCTCCTCACTAAGCTTAATCATTTCTAGCTTGTGATGTAAAGCAAGAGACATGTGACTCTTTATTTCACTTGAACATTTAATAGGCCATTGTAGGGTTATTAACTGGCCTAACCTCAATATTGTTGTGTCTCGGGGGAGAATAGGGAGGCCCAAGGAGAGGGAGAGAAGCAGGGAAATGGGCTGGTCAGTGGAGCAGTCAGAACACATACACCATTTATCAATTAAGTTCACCGTCTTATATGGCTGCAGTGCATGGTGCCCCAGAACAACTGTGATAGCAATGTCACAGATCACCATTACAATTATAATCATAATGAAAATTTTGAAATATTGTGAGAATCGCTAAAACATGACACAAGAGACAGAAAGTAAACAAATGTTTTTGGAAAAATGGTGCCAACAGACTTGCTCAAAGCCAGGTTGTCATAAACATTCAATTTGTAGAAGCACATTATCTGTGAAGCGCAGTAAACTGAGGTTTACCTGTAAACAGTACATGAGCACCTGATGGCCATTTGCTGAGTGAAGAAAACAGTACGAGAAGGAGGAACGTCAGTACAGAGGCTACCGCAGTGCTGCCTGCAGGTGATGGTCTGGGAGCTGGAGAATGGACGTGGGGCAGGAGAGGGAGATGGGATTTGGAGCTAGATGTGACACGAGTTGCTGATGGGCTGACAGGTAAGGGAGGAATCTAGAAGGTCCCTGGGCTTCTGCCTCACACTACTGGGCAGATGATGTGCCACTTTCTGTGCAGGGGGAGGCTGGCAGAGGCTAAGGGACACGGAATGGGGGCTGGGGTGGGAAAGAACCGGGAGTCCGCTCTTGAACATGCCAGGAGTGAGATGCCTTTGGGATATGTGAGCGCGGCCGTCAGGCTGGCAGTCTGGAGCCCAGAAGAGAGGTAAGGGTGGAAGCAGCAGCCGTGTCACGAGCCAGGTCACCCAGGGAGAGTGTGAATGCAGGGACGAGAGGGCCAGGACCCACGTGGGTCCATAATGGTCTTAAAACCAACAAAAACCAACCAACCCAACGAGGCCACGTTAGTGTGGTGAGCTGGAGAAATCTGTGTAAGCTCCCTGGGTTTGTTTCCTCCTCTGTAAAATGAGATGATAATTCTTCCTCAGAGGACCATCCCCCAAAGCACCAGACACACAGTAGGGGCTCAACAGATGACAAAGCCCAGGACGGCTCTGATATCCCCATCCTGACAAGGCCGGAAAAGAGACAGACTCAGCTCTTCTCCAGCCGAAGCCAGCAGAAATAGATCCCTTAGCCAGCTCGATGCGTTCGTCCCCCTCACGGAGAATAGCTCTGCCTGTTCTCCAGGCTTCTCCAGAGCACTGGCCGCCCTGCCCTGCCCTAGAAGCGAAGCCCATCCTGCATGCAGCTCCTCGGAATGACCACCAGTACTTCTGAATTTTGCTGTTTATTTATTGTCATTAGGAGGATATATTCTAAGTTCTCATTAATAAGGCCACATACGGTAGTTCATCTATTTATTCAATACTTAATGCACAACTATTAAGAACCAATACATAAACAATGCCCTCAAAATACCTCTCAATTATTAGATTCAAACCTTTCTTTAAATAATTACATTATTTCATGAAAAATTCAGTAAAAGGATTATGCAAAAGGTTACAAGACACAGAAGGGAGTAAATGAACTTTATTTGTTTCTTAAATAGTTTATTGTCAAGTTGGTTTCCATATAACACCCAGTGCTCATCCCCACAAGTGCCCTCCTCCATGCCCATCATCCCCCTTCCCCTCCCCCATTAACCCTCAGCATTCAAGAGTCTCTCATGATTTGCCTCCCTCCCTCTCCCCAACTATTATTCCCATTCTTCTCCCGCATCGTCCTCCGTGAACTTCCTCCTAATCCACCTATATATGCAAACATATGGCATTTGTCCTTCTCTGCCTGACTTATTCCGCTCAGCATAACACCCTCTAGTTCCATCCATGTTGCTACAAATGGCCAGATTTCATTCTTTCTCATTGCCATGTAGTATTCCATCGTATAGATAAACCACATCTTCTTGATCCATTCATCAGTCAATGGACACTTAAGTTCTTTCCATGTTTTGGCTATTGTGGAGAGTGCTGCTATGAACACTGGGGTACATGTGCTCCTATGCATCAGCACTCCTGTATCCCTTGGGTAAATTCCTAGCAGAGCTACTGCTGGGTCATAGGGGAGTTCTAATAATCTGAATCGCGGAAAGACAGCACCACAGAGGCTGTGGAACTTGGCTCTTAAAGGACAAACAGGATTTCCCCAGGTTAAGAAAAGGAATTACAGGCACAGGCAACACCATAAAACAAGAGTCAGCAGTATGATGTAGTTAGATGTGGTCAGGGAGCTAAGATAACTGGAATGCGTGCAGGAGTTAACAGTACACAAAGCTCAAGAAATAAGTGAAGTACTAAACTGAAAGATCTTTGGGGGCACTTGGCTGGCTCAGTTGGTAAAGCATGCAACTCTTGATCTCAGGGTCATGAGTTTGAGCCCTATGTTGGGCATAGAGATTACTTAAAAATAACAATTTTAAAAATCTTACTAAATAAATAAATAAATAAATAAATAAATAAATAAAACTAGGGGCACCTAGGTGGCTAACCAGTTGGTTAACTGGCCAACTTTCACTACGGTCATGATCTCACGTCTTGTGGGTTCCAGCCCCGCATCGGGCTCTTGTGCTGACAGCTCAGAGCCTGGGGCCTGCTTCAGATTGTGTCTCCCTCTCTCTCTGCCCCTCCCCTGATCACACTCTGTCTCTGCCTTGCCATGGAGTACTTTTACTTTGTACAAATATGGGGAGAAAGGTTTTAAGGTAAGAATGACAAGGTCAACTTTACGCTCTGAAAAAACTTTATTTTTCATTAAGAGA